ACACCAAAAGAGTTAAAAAAACATTGTCGAGGTACTATGGTAGAGAAAACTGCTGTTATGGATGGAGTAGAAATCTCTTGTGTTTGTTGGTACAACAACAAACTAGTTACCATGCTCTCAACATATGTAGGTAGTTCTCGTATTACTTCCAGAGAGCGCTATTTTCGAGAAGCCAAAGAACATCATGAAATTCCTTGTCCTAAATCAATAGATATCTATAACAAGCATATGAGAGGAGTTGATCTATTTGATTCCATGCTAGGGATCTATAGGATTCAATTATGTTCAAAAGCAATGAAGTTCGTATAGACGCCATTGGCCACGCTCCCCAGTGGAACGATACAAGATTGTTGTGCTACAACGACTGTAAATTTAGATCTTTTGTTACATGTACTAAATGTAACGTATTTTTATGTTTAAACAAAAATAGAAATTGTTTAGTAGAATTTCACTCCTAAAAACAATACCTAATTTAAGTGCATAAGAAGCCATATTTGGACCTGTCTATTTTTGTACATTTAAGGTTTATTGCATAGGAATCCATATATGGCTTATTTTTTTATTTTCTTAATTAGTAGAAAATTGTTATAAATTCTTTGGTAAATATACTTCTTTATAACAACAAAATCTTAAATTTTGCAAAAAAAAAAAAATTTTCTCTCTAAAACATAATTCATGCAGTAGAGGGTTAAAAAAAAGTTTTTAAGGTTCTAGATTGTTTCTTATGTGAAAGTTTAAATCCAGCGATTTTGACGCATATTTCAAATGCCTCACATTTGTTGCCAAAACTCAAAACTAAAATTTTATGCTATAAGTTTTGAAGGTTAGGCTCTTGTGGCTTTCGATCTCATGAAGGCTATTGATCTCATGAGAATCATAAAAAGATGGCAAAAATCGCGCCACATTTATTTATTTAAACCTTTATAATATCTAAGTTTACTTGCGGCAAAATACAAAAATTGCATACGAAAACTAAACTTTTTACCTTTAAAAACTGCTCTTTCCCTTGATTTTTGTCGATAGAAGACTTGAATCAAAAGATATCGAATTTTTATCGTTGAGTTGATACAAATTCTATTGAATATTAATTTCACGCGCTTAACTGACAGTCAAAATCTACGGTGAGAGAACGGTTCATTCTACATAAAAAGTGCTAATAAACATTTTGTTTAAAATTATCTAAGCTACATTTTTTATCTAAAATATTTTTTTTCTAAACGTACGGATTCTTGGTAAATCGATTTTTCTGCGTTTTTACCCCCACGAAGGGAGTTTTAGGGGGAAGCCGAAGGTAAAAGTGGTAAACTTTTTTGCATTTTTTTGGGGTCCCCAAATTAATATTCTCGGTTGAAGGTTGAAGAGCATTTTCGCTTCTGACGACTGGAGTACTCATATTTTTTACTTATTTATTAACTAATTAAATAATAAACATTTTACAATTATTGTTATGTTAATAAATTTCATCATTACAAACTCAAAATTTTAGTTTAGTAGGTGTTCACAATTAGCGATTGAAAACAAAGTATCTGACCTCTGGCGGAATAAATTTAAACTACTAAAAGTGATATAAACAAACCAGACAGCTGTTGATTTGAATAGAATTATTAAATTTTTTACTAAATTTCGGCATTATGACTACGTTAAAGTATTTTAAATCAAATCGATAAAATCGATAAACGATAAAAATAAATTGTCTTAAACCAAACTAAGCATGCAAAAGCAATGGTAAACATTCAACTGTTGTTTGTTTATACCATTTTATTGGCCGTGACACTGCAATCGACTTGTCCTCTACATTCAGTTTCAATCGCGAATTCTCCTAGATCATCCAACATTCTGAAATATTTCTGTAGTTAATACGTTGTTACATTCTTGTATAAATCTCTGACATATATCAGCCAATTTTTTTAGTCGAAATAAAAAATATAATGGGGTAAGAGTTTGGTGGCCATTCTATAAGTCCACGTCGCCCAGTCCACGTCCGGTAAAAACTGTTTTCGAGAGGCTTGACCGTAACTACCACGAAGCCGTCAAGATTTTTAATAAACGATTTCCTGGCCGTCAAATTAATAAACCTTATTTTAGATGCCCATAAAAATCAGGTTACTACGATGTTATATCTTTCCTATACTGTTGTACGGAGTTGAGTCATGGACTCTCACAGACGCCACCTGCAAGAAAATTGAGGCTTTTGAAATGTGGCTTTATCGTCGCATCCTGAAGATATCGTACACCGACCACGTTACTAATGAGGGTGTTCTGTTGAGAATGAAAAAAGAAAAAGAGCTGTTAACCACAATAAAAACAGCTAAAATCGAATACCTCGGTCACATCATGAGGAACAGCGAAAGATATGGACTGCTGCAACTAATCTTGCAGGGAAAAGTAGAAGGAAAACGGGGACCAGGAAGGCGAAGGATTTCCTGGCTGAAAAATCTACGAACGTGGTTCAATACAACAACCACAAATCTTTTTAGAGCAGCAGTGTGTAAAGTGCAGATTGCTATGATGGTCGCCAACATCCGAAACGGATAGGCACTACAAGAAGAAGAAGAAGAATTTTAGATCCATTATTTCTAAACATTTTGAAATTGGCTGCATACAAAAAAAGAAAATTTGGTCTGGATGTCTGGTCGAAAATCCCCTACAGAAAACACACAAATAAATGTTTTGGTCGATTGTAAATCTATCTATATCAAGCAGGAGTACACCTCGTGATTGAGATGTCAGTCAAAAAACAATTTTAAAAGCACTTCAAAAATAAAATACATTTATATGAACTGCAACTGGTTCACGAACTAACGATAGATGATCTAAAATATTCTGAAATTATTGCCACCACCTTTTACCAAAATCCCTATTATTTGAAGCATGTTTTGTTTTAGTGACGAAGTTACATTTTATTTGAACAGTCACTGTTCACCATTAGAAAGTCAGGTAAAATTATGAGATTTCATTATTGAAACTTATTGCAAGCATAGCTTTCTTATTTCGCTCTACGGACGGAATACATTGATCCGTGCATAGAGCTAGGATAAAATAAAAACGACTGAAACGCAATGAAAAGTCTGTAAGGAAAGATCGCTCGACCACACGCTATGTGGAGTACTACACGCAGTCCCATAAAATAGAAAAAACGGGATGTGGCACTCCAGGAGTGACCAAGGAGGAGAAGCATAGCTTTCTATAGTCTACGCATGGAGCTATGGTTTTTAATTCCATTTATTTCATATTATTTTATTTTTGTTTTATTTAATTTTAATCTAATTAGCATAAAATTTGCTGTCAAGATGGGCCCTGTAGCCTTTTTCATTGCCGAGATATAGCTATGGCTATGCTGACTTTACCATAAGGTTAGCATAACCATTGTTTCTCGGAAACAGGTGCAGCAATAAATTGTTTCTTAGCGTAAAACTTTAGTAGGATTTGCTTAACTCAACATTTGTTGCTATTCATAAAAAGCCAAATGTCAAGATTTGCGAAGAATACAGATTTATTAGTCCCATGAGTTCTTAAGGCATTTCTTTTTGTTTTATTAACTACCAAAAGACTTTGATACTGTAAGCCAGTCTTCTTATGTCCATTCTACAAGCACAGGTGTCACCGAAAATACATTCAGTTTATTAAATCTCTCCTTATTGGAACCAGATGTCCGAACTTAAAATCAATAAATCATTATTTACAGAACATGTACAAATAGTGGAAGGTGTTAGACAGGGGTATATGTTATCACCAATGCCTTTTAATATGTATTATGTTTAACAAGTATTTCAAATTTCTCTAGAAACTATTAAAGTAAATGGGGTCATAATTAACAATCTTCTTAACATGGACAACACAGATATTCTCGCAGATAAGATAGACAATCTGCATGCATTGGTTACAAGTATTAAATCATACAGGGAAAGGAACATGGCTTGAGGCTGAACACCCAAAAGACTAAATTTATGATGTATGTATGTATGTACAAATAGAACAAAATCCAACATTCTTACTGAACATAAATTGAAAATGAAATCATTTACTTTTCAAGTGATTGGAATTATTAATTTTTAAAGCCACTGTTTGAGGTCTACTGATCATCTGTTAATTGCTTATCAGTCTTTATATATGGCTTTTACTTTATCTAAACATTTGATTCCCTTTTTCAAAAATCTGCATGTTAATTGATTTACCTCTCAAAATTTTCAGATGATTTCTCAGTAGATAATGCCTTGAATATTTTTGTTATAAAGTTTGAAACTCATGAGACCATTAGTTCTTTTCTGGTTCTGGTTCTTTTCACATCAGATAAATAAATTTTTATGCCTATTTTTTTTTATAATTTGTTTTAGAATTTCATAGTTGGCAATCTGACAAAAAGTCCTTGTTAATTTGTCTCTAACTTGTTTGAGATCCTTTCTAAAAGATATATAGATACTGTATAAAGGACTAATTGGGATACCTTTCATGGATTCATGTTCTTCTTAGTTCTGTTCTTTGGTATTTAACTATTTGGCATTATTGCCTTACTAAATTTAGTTCTTGTACTATTAAATTTCTGCTCATGTATGTAGATCAAAATCTGCTTTTACAAATTGATTATTTTTCTGAAGAGCTTATCTATTTAAAAAAACAGGCTCATATCATTATCTCATGTATGTGTAATAAACACAACAATAAAAAATGATTTTAATGATTTTTAACACAAGGTACTTAATCAAAACAAGTATTGAATCTAGTGAAAACCAAATTCTGTAAGGAATATTTCATTAACATGTTTTTTCACTGAAATTAATTTTAAGAAGCACCAAAGCATGTTTTATTCTAATCTACAAGAAAAGTTTGATTGAACATTTATACAAAAGAAAATAAAATTTCAAACAAAACACAATGAATAGATCAATATTAGTAATGGTTTATTAGGATTTTGGTACAATAACAACTAGCCACAAATTAACGATTGAACTTGCCCAATGAACACCTGTTCAGTATATAAATAACAAAAAGTGGTACATTACCTTTTCTTCTCCACATGTCAAAAATGCCTCATATTTATTATCTGGGTCTTCTTTAAGTTTTTCCTTTTGCTTCTGCGAAATTTCCTCGCAGTTTTTCTTGAAACTGCTCAGGGAATTAAGGGTTTCAGAGCAACTTTCACATATTTGCTTTGATAATGGATCAGTTCTATAAATCTAAAAGGTGGTTGTTAACATTTAAACAATTATTATTAACATTAGGCAGTTTGAAAGGATCGATAAGAAGTAGTTTTATACTTACGACGATGGGCAGGCAATCTTTTATCACTTGAAGAATTTCAATGCCTTCTTCATTTTTATCGAAGATGCTTAACATTTTCTCTGCTGTTTCATCGCACAAGCGGCACGATTCTTCCGTTTTTTCGCTCTCCTCCATTTTATTAAATTAATTTCCTAATTAAACACTAAACTAGAAGGCTAATAGTAATCGAAAATTGTTTATTTTGATAGAAATTTCAGCTTTTACATAAAACGCCGACTACTTGACATGTTATTAATATATTCCGCCATATTAACATTGTTTCAAAGAAAGTGCGCAAGGAGGCGCTAGTCTCAACACAGAGGACAGCTTTCCAAGCTGTTGTCCAGAGCCGACTTTAGATTTAGGGCGCCTTTATTAAAAAATCCAATTCCAAAAGAATGGTAAATATTTGGTGGGCGATTGGGCATTCAGTTTAAGATTAAACGTTCCTATAAACATTTGTGATAAAAAAATGGTATTTCCGATATTTGCTATTTGCAACAAAAGTCTGCAATAATTTAGTAAATTTACAAATTGTGATTTGTAATGTTATTTGCCATTGAACTTTTGCTAAATAAGTATTTGTCTTAACCTGTACTTATAATTAGATTTAGAAAAAAGATTAAGTGAAAATTATTTTGAAAAAATAAAAACCCGCGCATCTTACAAATTTTCAAAATAAATAAATGCTGACCGTTAATTTTTAAGTACGTTCTATACCGGTGTCTTATGAAAATATCTGTTTTTGATATGTTCGAATTTGGACTTAATATATCTACAGCAGTTTGTTCGCTACTAGATCTTCAATTTCAACAATTATGAACTAAGAAATTCGTGCAACCACCAGATAAAAATCGATAGGGTTTTAAGTCTGTTGATCTTGATGACCAAAATGGGTGTTCAAGTAAATCCATTTATTTTTCTTTAAACTCTATCATGATTAGAACCATATCATCTCTAACAACTACAGAGAAATGAAAATATGCTTTATGGCGCATAAAACATATATGCACTATCTAATGTCTAATGGGACAATATACGGCAATTTAATTCAATGAAATAATCTTCAACTATAACACCGGTATATTCACTAAAATTTATGTTGACAGTCCCATTTACTAACAGAGCTAGGATTTTTTGTTCATCCCAAACTAGACTTATTCGGAAATTTAAAAAATTTCGGTTGGACACAATATAAATATAGAAAATTTCTATTTTCTGACTGTGGTAATACATGCCCGTCCCTCCCCGCAAGATGCAGATACTGCTTTATTTCAGTTTCACAGAAAAATTATACTGGAAGTGTGCTATGCTTCAGTTTTCTCCGTCGCACTGGGGGAACAGGTCTGTATTGTAAGTCAGCATATTTGTATTATATGTATATAACTGTTATAGCTGTTTCTATGGTTTTTACAGATTTTCTAGAGCGCAGTTAGAGCTTTTTAATTCCTACTTAAAAATAGTTAATAATTTCAAGGATTGCTTTTGCGTCTCTGTCTCACTGGGAAAACCGGTCGGTATTGCAACAGTTAGTCTATTTGTATTATATATGTATATAACTGTTATAGCTGTTTCTATGGTTTTCACAGATTTTCTAGAGCGCAGTCAGAGCTTTGTAATTCCTTCTTAAAAATAGTTAATAATTTCAAGGATTGCTTTGCGTCAGTTTTCTCTGCCTCACTGGGAAACCGGGTCTGTATTGCAATAGTTAGTCTATTTGTATTATGCATGTATATAGCTGTTATAGCTGTTTCTATGGTTTTTACAGATTTTCTAGAGCGCAGTCAGAGCTTTGTAATTCCTACTTAAATAAATTGATTTTTTAAAATCACTATCTTCGGTTTTTCTTGTTTTCGGATCAATTTTCCACAATATAGTTTTTTTATATATGTTACAAAAAATAGAGGTTATTTTCATCCCAAAATAAGGACTATTTTTGTTTATAATCAAAATACAACGTGTAAACAAACAAATAAAGCATTACAGCTAGTTTAGAATACAAAACAGTGAGTTTGCACAAAGGTTCATTTAATATATATTTTTTTCATTTATTGAATACACTACATGTTACATTGAATTTATTTTGATGAGAAGTCTACTTTTGCTGGAGATCATACAAAAACCATTTCGTACCCCTAAAATTTACCTATTCCATCCGTCGTAACTAAATCCGAGTTGAATTTATTCGTCACGTTATTGGTATAATATTTTTCTACGTTCTCATGCTGTTATTATTTTTTCATTCTCCTCTCCTCTCTCTTCACTATCTCATTCGCCTATCCTACCTTAAAGGTTAGTTCGAAAAAAAAGGAGGTAGTTTAGTGGTCATAATTTTGTCGTTTATTGTACGTATTCAAAGATAGCTGTCTCTGACCATCTCATTTAACTCATGCATACGTTTTTTACATATTCCTTTAATTTGGTCGATCCGTCTTGTTAGGGATCTTGCTCGTGATCTTCGGACTTCTATCTTTCCTTAGATAATAGGTCTTTTCATGTTTTCTGTGTCGAGTAAGAATACGATAGATAAGAAAGAATAACATTGTATAACTTTGATAGTCTAGATAATGAAAGTACATGTTTACTTCATTCTTGAAGGCTAGAACAGATCTTTTGAAAAAGAATATCAATATATAAAAATCTACAACAAAGAGACAACGAAAGAAGACCTACAAAGAAAATACAAAAAACCGTAGTATTGGGACAAAGATACTGAAGAAATGATTAATAAAAGAAAAGTACGAAGAGTTAATTCAAAATAGATGTAAACAAACAGTAGAAGAATACAATAGGGTACAGCAAATAAATAAAAGAGTTAAACAAGAAGTAATGAAGAAGAAGAAAGTGGCTGGCAAAATAAATGTGACTATATAAACCACATTGGAGGTGCTAAAGGTTTTGCAGCCTAGAAGACCCTAAAAAGCATAAGGATGAATGATGAAAGCAAAGGGCTAATAAGTAGCATATCTGACGAACGGTGGATGGAGAACTTTACTGAATCATTGGCCAAAACACGAAAAAATGTTCTAGAAAATGAGCAGAACATTCAATTGAAATTATTTAGATAAAAGTTGGAACACAGATAAGACCATACTGTAAAAATATTTTCAAATATACAGGGTTTCAAATATACCATATTGACAAGGTGGAACAAACTTATCATTTTTTAATAGAACACCCTGTATATTGTTATATTTTTGGACTCTTCTCTAAGTTCTTGTTTTTTCTATATAAGCTTTGGCGGTATTATACGAGGTAATTTAAAAGATAATTACGTTTTTTATTAATTTCGTAGCAACATTAACACCCCGTAGATTTGTAGATATATATATATATATATATATATATATATATATATATATATATATATATATATATATATATATATATATATAAATTTATCTAGACTTTCTGGATGATGTTGTTTCTGGTTTTCATTTTCTCAGCAACTTTGATTAATCGCTTCCTAAAACCTAATCATGGTCAGCTGATCATAGCTTACTTTACACCATAATTGAACCTTCCCAAAGAAACACAATGAATATTTGAATGCTAATTTTGTTCTTTTATACATCGATAGATGTTTGCGCCTCCAATAATTAAGTTTAAGCAACTTTTGGCTTACATGCTTGAACAATATTTGACGCCAATTGTCATTATGTTTTGACGCCTTAGAAGTTGAACTACTCGACAACCTTTTTGAAGTTTGTCTTTTTGGATTATACGGTTTCAAATCAGCCTTCTTGAATATATTACGTAAGTAGTAATAGCCTTACTCATAGCTATAATACATTCACGAAATTTATTTATTGTGTTCCCTGTTCCGTTCCCAACAGGTATCGTTTGATGTGATTTCAAGAATTCCTCCAATATGTAACATTACGGCGGATTACCAGTAAGTACTTATATAATAAATAAAACCTTACCAAACTTAAACTTTACCTCATAATCAGTTGGCGCTATAGCCCTTCGTGGGCCCTGGCCTGCTTCAAAACATTCTTCCATCCTTCCCTGTCGAGTGTCTTTCTTCTCCATCGCCTTACTTTAATCTTCCTTAAATCGTCCAGATACCTGAGTTTAGGTCGCCCCTTCTTCTTCTTCTTCCGACTGGCCTATTTAGCATAGTTATTTTATATCTGTATAACGTGGTCCACCCATCTTAGGTGGCTTATTTTGAAGGTTTTTACGATATCTGCATCACCAAAAAGTCTATAGAGTTCGAACTTATATTGCATTCTCGACATACCCTGTTCGTTAACCCCGCCATATATGGTCCTCAATACTTTTCTCTCAAAGATTCGTAGTAACTCTTCATCTTAGGTAGTCATTGCCCATGTTTCTGAGCCATAAGTGAGTACTGGGCGTATTATTGATTTATAAAATTTGCACTTTGTTACTATTGACATATTTCTCGCTCTTACTTGAGGGCCTAGGCCAAAATAACGGTTAGCCACGCATATTCTTTTTATTTCTTTGGATGTGTTGTTGTTGCGGAGTAGAATTCTTCCACCGTTTCTATAGTTTCGTGTTGCATCTCTAAGTTATTTTGTTACATCTTGATATAGCCCGCATATAATTAGTTTTCCGAGTGGAAGAAGAAGGACGAGTATTTCTGATGTTGTGGAACTGAAATGAAACTGGACAGGCCATGTAGCGAGAATACATGCCTCACGATGGACGAGCAAAATTACAAATTGGAGGCCAAGAGCAGACAAACGTAGTAGAGGAAGACCACCTACACGTTGGGTTGCGACATCAGGCTTATCACCAAAAATTGACAACAAAGAGCACAAAATCGTGAAGAATGGAGGAATTTAAGGGAGGCCTATGTCCAGCAGTGGGTGTGATAAATGAAGGCTGGATTATTATGATCAGAAGTTTGACGTATTTGATGCGTGTAAAAGCTTCTGCTTCATTTATTATTTGTACACTAAGGGTATATATCGTACTTTATTAAGTTTATCCCGAATCTCTCATAACCTTTTCTAGCACTAGGTTGAACAGCGTAGTGTGCATAATAGCGCATCTCCCTGGCATAGTCCTCTGTTAGTTGTAAATGGTTCTTAAAGATCCCTTTGTACCCGACTTTACATTCAACTTTCTTCATTGTCATTTTAATTAATTCTACCAATCTTTTTGGTATTCCCAATTCGATAATAGCCGAATATAATTGGGGTCTGTCAACAGTATCGTGCGCTGCTTTATAATCTACGAAGATGTAATGGCAGTCTACGTCGTAAACTTTACCTACTTCGTGTATATAATA